CGTCCTTGCTCCTAGTAGTAAGGCCAGGAGCCCCTAGTAGCGTCCTTAAGCCCCTGGGCCCAGATGGTGCAGCGCACCGCCCTCCGACAGCGGAGCTCGTCCACCCATGGCTTCGCCATGGTATGTGCTCAGCTGGCTGCTTGTTTGATCTTGGCAGCATCTGGACCCCCTGGTCCCAAGTCCAGGAGTGCCCCTATGATCCAGTTCGATGAGACCTCGTGGCTTGCTGATCAGAACATCGACTTTTTCTATGATCTTTGGGGCACTGGGGGTGAGGGTGGAACAACAACCATGTGTTGTTCCGGAAGGGACTCGTTTCATGATCCTCTTCAAGCTACCCCTGAATATCATGGTACAGGGCCCGCAGTGTCCCCCGGGACTTTCATGAGGACACCGCGTCCCACAGTCAAAAGATCGTTCGCTAGGGCCATGAAGCGTTTGCAGAAAACCGGTTTTTGCATCTACCGTGGCAATGTTCACGTCCGGTCACCTGAAGAGACGACCTCGCCTGCTGCACCCAAGCTGCAACGAACCCGTGCACCACGCACGAAAGGACCGCGGCTGAGCTGCATAACGTGGAACTGTGGCGGACTATCCTCGGAAGCCTATAACGAACTACTTGTTTGGCTCTCCATCCATCAATTGGATGTATGTTTCGTTCAGGGAACTAGGTGGCCTTTTGACGAGCCTTGGGAGAGCCACGGTTATGCTCTCATACCGACACCGCATCAGGTGGGTGGCCATAACGGACTCCTCACCATCATTCGCACGCAGCTTTGCCCGACCTCTGCCATCAGCCATGTCACGGTGCTGGCAGGCCGGATCCAGCACGTTCGTTGCCACCTGACTCAAATCACCCTTGATCTTGTCAATTGTTATCAGCGCCCCAATATCCCTGCTCGTAATAGACCTGACCCCATTGAGGCTAGATCCCAATTTTGGCACGCATGGGAGGATCTCCTGACGAAACTCCCTTTTCGTAACCTCCTTTTGGTTTCAGGTGACTTCAATTGCACCATGGATGTACAGAAGCCTCGACGAGGCCTTGAAGCCCAATTTCCAGATCAAGCCTCCTTCAAGGCCGTGATAGATCGTTTTGCGCTCTCCTCTGTTCGTGTGCATGATTCGTACCCAAGCTACATAGGGCCTGCTGGTAATTCTAACATTGACTACATCTTTGCTAGGAGACCGCAGCTTGATCGATTGTCTCGCCAAGCCAGGTGCATTCGATCCTTTCCCATCAACATGCACCAAGCCTATCCTGATCACAATCCGATCAGTTGCACCATCCCTTTGAACTGGAAGGCATGGTACAGTCAGCCGGCCATGAAATGCACACGTCTGTCTTGGAACACCGCACAGAATATGCGCCAGGTCTGGAAAGACCACTCGACACAATGGACGACCTTTGAAGCCGAGCTTGATTCGAGCCTCAGGCAAGCCATGGCCGTGGGAACCCATCCAAGTAGTATTAATGAACTAGTCATCCGCACATGCAATGATCATTTTCGTAAGAGCCCTGAGCCCAGAGATGCCAACTGGTGTCTCTACTCCACCAGGTCGTTGGTTGCTTTGAAATGGAGACACCTTCATCTTGCGCGTACTGCTCAGTTTCAGCCTGCCTCACAGATGTCTGGTGTCTTTCGAGCATGGTTTCATATGACTCAGCACGCCAAGCTGAGGCATCGACTTCGCAAGCATTGCCAGGACCTTCGGAAACAGAGAATCCAGAAGATCATCCAAGATGCCACTCAGGCGGCCAACAGACATGATGCACGTAGACTCTACATGGCCATTCGAACCTTAACACCTAAGCAGCCGAGAAGACAAATTCGATTTCGGAATGCTGGAGTGGCCCAGGATCCACAGACCGAGCTGTATGCATTGATGGCTCACTTTGAAGCCATCTTTTGTGCCACCTCCTCAGATGTCCCTCCTTTAACTTCCTTGGAATTGCCTTTTACTCAGGAGGACTTGGAACGTGAACTTCATGCAACCAAGATCGATAAGGCAGTTGCTCCAGGCACAGTGCCGCCTTTGATCATCAAGCACTTTGCATCACAGTTGTCCCATTGGCTGTACAGGTTCCTTGAAGTTGAATGGGGATCCGCACACCCCACCATTCCTGTCGCTTGGAAAAATGCCAGCTTGTCACTCCTTGCAAAAAGGACAGTACATTCACCCAATGACCCGAGACCTATTGCCTTGACCTGTGGACTCGGCAAAGCAGTCCTTGGCACGTTGATCAAATGTGCGCGCACCTTCGTGGCCGACAGCTTGGTTCGTTTTCCACTCTTTGCATACACTGAAAAACGTGGAGTCCTTGAAGCCCTGTGTTTTGTTTTCGATCACTGCCATCAGGTCCGACAGAGCTGCAATCAGGCTAAGCCATCTCATTGGCAGAAACAGGCAGGACACTGCATTCCCCCATTAACCGGTGGCATGATGCTTTCCCTGGACCTCACACAAGCTTTTGACAGGCTTCCACGTTCGCTGCTGTATGAAGGCCTAAAGACCTGTGGTTGCCCCCAGTCCATAGCTTTGCTTTTGGTAAATTGGCTACAAGATGCCAAATACTGTCTCTCTCACAGAGGCCTCACATCCGAAATCACCACAACTTGTGGTGTTAGACAGGGATGCCGGGGCAGTCCACTTGAGTGGAATGTCTTCATGACCGAAATCCTTCGATCCTTGAGCCGTGCACTTGACGTTGAAATTGAGCAGCTCATCCATCGATTGATTTGCTTTGCTGATGATTTGTTGCTTCGATGGACCTTTCACTGTAGAGACCAAGTCCACCATGCTTTGACTGAAGTTGGACGCACCCTTGATGTCTTGGAAGCGCACCACCTCTTGTTCAACCCCAAGAAAACTGTCCTGCTCCTCCGACTTGAAGGCTCTCAAGCGGTGAAGGTGATGAAACATTGCACAATTAAAACCAAAGATGGACTTTTTGTTCGTATCCCACGCCATAAAGGAGAAACGTGGCTGCCCCTTGTGCATTCTCACACCTACCTAGGATGCAAAATCTCGTATCACTGCTTTGAAAAGCAAACCTTACAATATAGAATGCAAATAGGTACCACCGCTTTTCAAAGATTGCGCCCGTGGCTCGCCAAGCGCCATTCAGTTTCGACGCACACAAGAGCCCAAGTGTGGAAATCTTGCATCCTCAGCTCCTACCTTCACGGGCTGGCTGCTGCAGGAATCACACAGGAGGGGTTTCACAAGCTCATACATAAATGCCATGCGCAGCTTCGACTTCTAGGGCAATCACCAGGTCACATCACACATGAAACCAATGCTGACCATTTTCGTAGACTCGCCTTGGCTGACCCGGCTGTGTACATCCAGGATCAGTGGACGCAGGTGTACCATCGGCTTGCACGACAACAGGCACACTTTTCTCGACACGACTTTATGCGCCATTTGCCATTTGATGCCATCAGATCAAGGGTTCTGTCTGTCTTTGAGCATGTGCAGGTTCAGAATCAGGTCTGGACTCTTCCATGTCCGTACTGCTCCCAGCTCTTCGACAGTATGACTCACCTTAATCGGCATCTTGTGATAACTCATAAAATCACTCGTCATAAGCAGCCTTTCCTGCCTGTTCGAGATGCCCAACAAGGTCGACCGCAATGTCGTCACTGCCAGTACAAATTCTATGACTGGAGAGGCCTCAAAAGACACATTGTGAGTAACAGCTGTCCGCTGTATACTCCAGACTTACCTGCACAGGTACCACCTGCTGATCGACCAATTTTTCGTGAACATGCACAAGCCGGCGCCTGGCTTGCTTTGATTGAGGACGTCAATTTGGTCCAGATTTTGAGAGAGCACTGTGTCTTGTGTGGTCAATATTTTTTCACTGGCAAATCCCTCCTGGAGCACCTGAACCATCACCACTATGAGATGTGGTCCGAATCCAAGACACTTGCACCGATCATCAACGATGCCCTTCGTGATAGCAAACCCTGTCAAGCATGTGGCAAGTCAATTGTGAAAGCTCATGCGTGCCATGTGGTGCGTCAAATGGCAATCATCCACGCCCTGCACACCAGCAATCGAAGTGCGGAGGACACTGTTCAGGGCAAACCGGTTGCTCCAACTCCACCTAAGCCTGATCCCACATGGCAGATCCCGGAGTCAGGCCTTCGAGTGAAAGCTCAACCAAATACTGCGCAAAGCTTCAAGATCATCAATACGTATCATCCAGGCCGTGACAGTGCTGATGGCACCTCTACTTGCGCTCATTGCCAATGTGTTCAAGGGAACCATTTTGCCCTCAGGAGACACATCGAGTCAGGATGTTGTAGAGCCTTCAATGCACTTCGTCCACTGGGTAAGCACATCCCGCAAACGTGGCCTGAGCTCATGTCCTTGGCCAAGAATGCAGACACCGCGCAGATCCTGAGCACGTCTACCTATACGCAAGCCCTTCGTACTGTCTGCGCCTTGTGTGGTAGACACTGTGCCAAGCCGGGATCTCTTCACCAGCACCTTCTTCAGGATCATGCCACCGTCGTCCATGCAGCTGCAGCACGAGTCATGAACATGCAGACACAGGCCAACGCCCTGGGCCGACCGTGTTACTGTGGCAATCGAATAGTGAGGAAAGGCCATCAATGTGTGATCTTTGCTCAAATTGGCCTCCTACAAGTCGTGGCATCCAGAGAGACCTCAACCGCTTCTGATGTGAGCAGCCCCGATCCTGCTGTGCCAAGTGATCAGGTGAACAACAAAGCTGATCATGTCCTTGACTTTTGGGCCAATCCTGCACATTGTTCGAGCCTCAACACCAACTGTGTACTATGCCAGATTCCTTTAGTTGCTGCCGATGTGGAGCAACATCTTCTGACCAGTCACGCCACGTTGGGTGCTCGTGCCATCGAACTGTATCCATCATGCCTGAGCCCCAAACCTGACTGCTGCCGTTATTGCTTAGAATCGGATGGGATCGTGGAATACTGCCCGGCCGCTCTGCAGTTAGCCTTTTCCCAGGCACACCTTGCCTCCAGCACGCCATTGACGGCGCATGATGGGAACCTACGAGATTCAAGACGACGACATGATGGGGCAGATGCAGGATGCTCTAGGGGGCACATTCAACAGTCCTTCAAAGCCAAGCCACAAGAGGGGTCGCCCAGAGGAAGCCTCTCAGGAGACACAGGATGCCCTGGACCGCCTTCAGAAGACGGTGAGCCTCCTCACAGCTTTGAGCTTGAGACACGAATCCCAGCTACAGGCCCAAGCCTCAACGGATCAGTTCCTATGGTTCTTTCAGATGAACCAAAAGGGCATTCTTCCAGCGCTGCTCAGCCGAACGGCCTCCTGGAAACAAGAGATGGAGAAGAGTCAAGCCCAGAAACCACTTCGAGTTGCCCTCTTCCAACAGGTCTGCCAGACCGTGCTCGACAGGATGCTGACCTTCGCGAAACTTTCACAGACGAGCCCGGAGTGGGAACAAGCCATCAAGGGTCAACTCATCACCTCAGAGGGGGCTTGGCCGTTTCTTCAATGGTGCCCGGACTCCAAGAGTCTCAAAGCTACGTCCAAACCGGCCATCAGCATGGTCAAAATGCAGAAGCAACTGGAGGACCTGGTAGAAGCAGCTCAATCCGACCAGAATATCCTCCGCTTCAAAGCACTGAAGAACACCTCAGGGAGATCAAGCATCAGCAAGTATGTCCCTTCCTACTTCATGTCTCCCTCCGGGAGAGCGCAATTTGGGAGGTGCTCAACCTGCTTGCCCACAACTCGATCTGGCTGGTCATTCAGGCCAGGGTGAGGCCACACACTCAGAGAGAGAACCCTTTGGCCACTTCCTTGGCCAAATCCTTGAACCAACAGGACAGAATGTCCAGTGGCCGATCCAGCAGGAGGAAGTGAAAGGTGCAGTGATGGCCCTGAGGCTCATCAACACGGAGAACCTTTGCTTTGTCCACGCCACTATTTTGGCCTTCTTTTGGGGTTTCATCCATCTGCAACATGGCAAGTGGATGGATTTGGGTGGAGCTGCCAGAATCCTCATGGATCTTTGCACACGCAGCTCCTTGTGGGTTGACACCCGTGACCTTGAATGTTGGAGCGCATGGCTCGCTCAGTGGGATGATGAGCGCCAGCATGACTCTCACGAGTTCCTAAAGGCATTTTTGGCCTTCGTGCAACCTCCAGCATTGACGGGGTCCTGGGTACGAAACATGCACTCTGACAACCAAATCAAGATCATGGATCACGGAACTGCCTGGCTGCCACCCTCTTTGGTGACGAGTCACGCACATGCGAAAAAGGTGTCTCTTCAAGCGCTGATAGATGAATGGCATACCTACATGGGTATGATCACAGCCTTCGAAAGAGACAGTCCACTGCTGTGCTTCCAAATAGAGCGCTTCAAACCTGACTCCCAAGGTGATGTGGTGAAAGCAGCCTGGCACTTGGACCTCACCATCGTTGAGGTCCCAATTGCCACTGAACCTGCCAGCTTGACCACTGAGGTTCGTGAGTATGTACCGATAGCAGGACTCCTGCACAAAGGACAAGATCAATGTGGGCACCTTCAATGCGTAGCCCGCCATGCTCGGGGCTGGCTCGTGTTCGATGACAACACTGAGGCTGTTCTGCATCCAGGTGATCAGCCGCCTCGACAGGCTGACTGGATTTGTGTCTGGCTCCTTCGTCAGACACGCTATCGTGAGGTGACACCAACCTTCTATGTCCGAGGACATGATGCCAAAGTTCATGAACTTGTCCAGCTTCTGGACCGACGAAACTGGCAGCAACTTGAGACTAAGGAACGGTTGACCCGCTACTTTGCTGTCCACTGCGGTGCTTGTGCCCAGCTGTTCCTAGATGTGCAGTCTCTCGCTAAGCATGTCTTCTTGAGGCACTTCCACTACCGCTGGATTCTCACCCGCGCCTTCGACCTGCTAGCGCTGGACCACCGCCACGCGGACACACCATGTTTGATGTGCGGCGCTACCTGAGGTGACGGGGGGCATGAGGAATGTCCCAACACATGCATGTCCGGCCATCCTCAACTATGCCTTGGCCAAGTCCTATCACCAGCGTGAGCTCCAGCACTATGGACCGATCTATGGAGCACCTCGACGAAGGGATGGCTCGCTCTATGGAGCCCATCTTGATGGAGGCCAACCTGAAGGCCTTGATGAATGGCTGCAAATGGATCCTGATCCATGAGTGAGAAAGCGCTTGAGTTGGACACAGATCCGACATTTTGTAGTTGACTGTGCAGGGCGCGAGGACCGATATGCCCCATGGCTCCAGAAACCTGGAGATGAGCCCAAAGAAAGAAAAGAAAGTAGCGTCCTTGCTCCTAAGGCCAGGAGCCCCTAGTAGCGTCCTTGCTCCTAGTAGTAAGGCCAGGAGCCCCTAGTAGCGTCCTTGCTCCTAGTAGTAAGGCCAGGAGCTTCTAGTAGCGTCCTTGCTCCTAGTAGAAAGGGCGGGAGCCGCTAGTAGCGTCCTTGCTCCTAGTAGAAAGGCCAGGAGCCCCTAGTAGCGTCCTTGCTCCTAGTAGTAGTAAGGCCAGGAGCCCCTCGAGCCCCTAGTAGCGTCCGTGCTCCTAGTAGAAAGGCCAGGAGCCCCTAGTAGCGTCCTTGCTCCTAGTAGAAAGGCCAAGAGCCCCTAGTAGCGTCCTTGCTCCTAGAAGAAAAGACAGGAGCCCCTAGTAGCGTCCTTGCTCCTAGTAGAAAGGCCAGGGGCCCGTAGTAGCGTCCTTGCTCCTAGTAGTAAGGCCAAGAGCCCCTAGTAGCGTCCTTGCTCCTAGTAGTAAGGCCAGGAGCCCCTAGTAGCGTCCTTGCTCCTAGTAGTAAGGCCAGGGGCCCCTAGTAGCGTCCTTGCGGCCAGGAGCCCCTAGTAGCGTCCTTGCTCCTAGTAGAAAGGCCAGG